CTCTCTCTCTCTCTCTCTCTCTCTCTCTCTCTCTCTCTCTCTCACACACACACACACACACACACACACACACACACACACACACATCCTATATAGACACAATAACAACAGCAATAATAAAACAAGAGTTTCTTCAGATATCAAGGCACACACACCTACAACCCCAGCACTTTGAGAAACTGAGAGGTGAGGAGCACAGCAAGCTGAAGGTCAGCCTGGACGGCACGGCAAAACCCGTCCCAAAAACCTAACACGTGGGCTGGTGAGATGGCCCAGAGGATAAAGGCTCCTGCCACCAAACCTGATGACCTGAGTTTATCCTCAAAACCCACATTGTGAAAGGAGGCAACTGACTCCCAAGGTTGTCCCCTGACTGTCACACACTCCCTGAGGTATGCACACCTCACCCCCACAAAAATGAAAAAACAATATAATAAAACTGTATATAGGTGTATATGTATATATGTATATATATGTGTGTGTGTGTGTGTGTGTGTCAAGCTAGGTGTGTTGTATGTTGGTGTTTACCTTTAATCCTGGCACTTGAGAGAGAGGGGCAGACAGATCTCTGTGAGTTTAAGGCTAGCCTAGTCCAAATAGCAAGTTCCAGCCCAGCCAAGGCTACAAATGGGAACCTGTCTCAAAAGAACAAAGAAAAAATATAAATTATATGTCTGCATATGAAGAAAAGTATCTTTTATGTATATAAAAGATTTTCTTATTTACATTTTTGTTATATTTATTTATTTGTATGTGTGAGGGTTCGAGACAGGGTCTTCTGTGCTCCAGGCTGGCCTTGAAATCCCAATGTAACCAACCAAGAATGTCTTGAAATCCTGGACCTTCTGACCCTACCTCTTAAGTGCTGGAATTCTCTCTCTCTCTCTCTCTCTCTCTCTCTCTCCATATATATATGAAAATTATTTATTAGCTACCTCCCCAAAATATCTTTTTTTGTTGTTCGAGACAGGGTTTCTCTGCATAGTTTTGGTGCCTGTCCTGGATCTCACTCTGTAGACCAGGCTGGTCTCAAACTCACAGAGATCCGCCTGCCTCTGCCTCCTGAGTGCTGGGATTAAAGGTGTGCACCACTGTTGCCCA